GAGAAAATTCTTCCCTTTTTATTCTCCCAATTCCAGCTCTGCACATTCCATTATATTACTTTGTTTTGTCTTCCCAAACTGCCCTTTGCAATCTTCGCTATAAATTGCATCTCATTATCAAGAAAACATAGATTCTTACCCCTGGACCTATAGGTACCATCATAGTGGATGCAAAGAGATTTCAACTGTCACCAGCTTCATCTTGCTTGGATCTACTATCAACATCCTTGGTACCAGCAGTCCAAGTAAGGAGACACTTTGCACTGGTAAAATCTGCAATTAGGAACCTCTCCAAATTATTGGGGAGTAATAATGTCATTGAGGACTAAAGTGTGTCTGATTCAGGCCATGGTCTCTCCGTTCCCTTCCTATGTATCTGAGAGCTGAACAGTGAGTAAGAATGACAGAAGAAGAATTGATGCCTATATGATATGTAGTGTTGGAGAAGAGCGCTGAACATCCCAAGAAAAAAAAAATTGATGTGTCTTACAGAGGGTGCAGTTGAAGTGTTCTTTGGAGGCAAGAGTGATAAGGCTTTGCCTCACATACTATGAGTATATTACCAAGAGGGCCTATTCCTTGGAGAAGGACACGATGCTGGAAAGGGTAAGAGGGTCGGTGAAGAAGAGGAAGACCCTCAAACAGGTTTGTTGACACAGTGACTGCTGCAGTGAGTTCTTGTGTGTCAGGAAGTGTCAAGATGGCACAGGATAGAACAAGGTTAGATCTTTTATTCATCGGGTCACTGTGAGTTGTACTTGATGACACCTTACAACAACAACAACAACAACATGATCTATACTAGCAAAGACAAATTGAAGAGGAATGATGTCTGATTAACCTAAAAGAACATATTCATACATAAAGGATTGTTGTGTACAAATTTTCATCAGTCACTCACTGCTCATCCTTCCGCTGTAGTGAAAGTGAATCAAAATTGAAGATGAATTGGTACTCCAGGAACTTTTACTAAATGATAGCGTAGATATATGAATATGAACCTCTTATTTTAGTAGATAATCTTTTTTGTGTTTTCTCCTGCTATCTTTATGAATATTATATCCGTTTCAAACAAACAGTAAGCAGTATATTTAGAAGCTTTTCTTTTGAAAAATCTTTGAGACTCTACTACTTTTTAGAAGAGATTGATAGGATTCATCAGATACTAAAGCCCAGCTAGTCTAAAAATTGGTACTTAGGTTCCATTGCAAACATATTTTCTGTAGTTTTCTTTTAAATGTACATAAGATGATCATTATTCTTGTTGCTGTGTGCTGCCGAGTCACTTGTAACTCATATCAACTCTATGCACAGTAGCTCTGAACCCTCTCCTATATTGAGCCAATCACACTGTCTCTGGGACTCCTTCTACCATTACAACAGTTGCTGGGTCATTTCATCTCCTCCTGGGTCTTATTCTCTTGCACTGTCCCTCTATCCTTGCAAGTATGATGTCCTTCTCCAAGGACTGGTCCCTCCTGGCAACATACCTTTAGTATATGAGACAGAGCTTCAAAATCTTTGCCTCCAAGGAGCAACTTACTCTCTCCAGGACAAACCTGTTAGTTCTCTTGGCAGTCCATGGTATATTCAATACTCTTCTCCAGCACCGCAACTCAAAGACATCAATTCTTTTGTCATCCTTAGTAATTATACAACTCTCTGATTCATAGCAAGCAATTGCAAAGACCATGGCCTGGATCAGCTGCACTTTATAGTCTCCAGACTGCCATTGTTGCTCTTTAGCACTATGGAGAGGTCCCTGACAGCATGTTTTCCTAATGCATGTCTTTTGATTTTCTAATGCTTTGTCTTTTGATTTTCTGACTACTTGTGCCAAGAGTATTGATTGTAGAGCCCAGCAAGCTTAAATTGTTAACAATCTCAATTTCTTCTCCCATTCATCATGGTGCTACCAATTAGCCTAATGGTGAGAATATTTTTTTTCTTGATGTTGAGTTTAAATCCATAGTGAAGCCTTCAGTCCTTGACCTTTTGCAGCAAGTGCTTCAGGTCCTTTTCACTTTGGGCAAACACGATTGTGTCATCTGCATAACAAGTTGTTGATGAGCCTTCCTCCATTACTGATGCCACATTCCTTCTCATAAAGTCCAACTTATTAAAAAATTTTAGCAAGCTAATTATTTTAACATCCATTAATTGGACTACAAATGTATAAAATGTGAATCATGAACAATTAGAAGTTGTCACAGTGAAATGATATGCTAGACAATAGGTATCCTAGGCATTAGTGAGTTCAAATAGAGTGGTGCTCATAACTTTGAATCAATTGTAAGATATACTGTATCAGGAATGATAAGTTAAAGAAGAATGATGCCACATTCATTATCCAAATTAACATTTCAAAATTTATTCTAAAGTACAGTATTATCAGTGGAGATTGATAACTTTTTACAAAGATTATGTTCAGATTTACATACGATCCACCAATGCCAAAAATATTGAAATGGGAGATTTTTACATAGTTCTGAAGGCTGAACTTGATCAAACCATTGTTCAGGATATATTGATAATTCTAATGATTATAATACAAAGTTTAGAAACAAAGAGAAAGAATAGTTAGAAAATATGGACTTAGTGATAAAATTGGTACCAGAGGTCACGTGATAGAAATTTGAAAGACTTTTCCTTAGAAATATCTTTTTTATTCCCAAAAAAAGCCTCAATTTTCAGTACAGAAGGATTCAATAAGCAAGATGTTGAATGACATGGGAAGTATCAAAATAAGATGAAAGGAGTACACGGAATCTTTTTACCAAAAAGAATTAGTCAGTGTTCATCCTTTTCAAGAGATAGCATATGACCAAGAACTGACAGTATTAAAAGAAGATGTACAAGCTGAAACCTATTTGCAGAAACCTAACTTCTGATATTGACAAAATGCCACATAAGATTCTTCAACATCTGAATGTAATACTGGAACTGCTTACTCATCTGTGCAAAGTGCCTGGCTAACCAACCAGAAGAGATCTGTATTTGTGCCCATTAAAAAAAAAAAAAAAAGATGATCCAGTAAAATGGAGAAATTATCAAACTATATCATTAATAATATATACAAGTGAAATCTTAAAAAAAAAGGTTGTAGCTATAAATCGACAGCATTGAGACAAGGACATAACTGTGGGCTATCATTGTTAATGATTGGTGGATTTTGGCTGAAAGCAGAGGGTACCAGAAAGATGTATTTTCTTGACTGTTTGCAAAAGCATTTCACTGTGTGGATGACAACAAATTACAAACATGGCCAAGAACAGGAATTGCCAAATACTTCATTTTACTCTTACAGAACATGTACATTGACTTTAGAGGCATTCATTTGAACAGAGCAAGGAAATTCTTCTATGTGATTTAAAATCGGAAATAAAGTATTTATCAGGTTGTTTGCTGACAGATGATTCAAGAAGCTGGATGATTTGGAGGGAGGGGGAGCCACATAGCATAGTCTCGGGATTGGAGAAAGATTTATTAGCAACCTATAGTTTGCAGATGACACAGCCTTGTTTCTTGAAAGTGAGAGAATTTAAAGCACTTGTTTATAAACAGCGCAGACTACAGCCTTTGGTATGGATTACAACTCAATAAGTAAATGGAGAAAATATTGATGTTTCAAGGATTTCACTTGGATCCTCAGCCATACAGAGGCAGTCATGAAATCAAATGATGCATTGCATTGGGCAAATCTTCTGCAAATAGTTCTTCAAATTATTAGGAAACAGAGATAACATCTTAAGGACTAATGTGCATCTGACTGAACCTATGTTATTTTCAGTCTCCTCATGTGCATTAGAAATCTGGGCAATGAATAAGAGAAACTTGAAGAATTCTTACTTGAATTGTGTTTCCAGAGAATATTAATTATACCATGGGCAACCAAATCAATGAAAAATTCTATCTTGGGAGAAGCACCGCAATACTCCTTAGAAGTAAAATTGATGAGATTTTTATCTCACATACTTTGGACATGTTATCCAGACCAGTCCCCGAAGAAGAATAACATGCTTGGTAAAGTTAGAGGTCAGCAAAAAATAGATCCTCAACAGGATAAATTGATCCAATGAATGAATGAGTGGGCGCAAACACAGCAGTGATTGTGAAAATGGCATCAGACCTGGCGGTATTTCATTTTGTGGTACCTAGGGTCAGTCAGCTCAGTGATAAGAATAAGAATATAACAGTAACCTTTTAACTCTGACAGAGATACATATGTATGTTGTTTCATTCTTATGACTAAAAACAGGCATTATAGAGAAACTGCTTCATCTGGTTAAAGCCAGTGTTGGTGCTGGGATTTATCATATCTGGTGGCACTTTCTACCTTTTCTATGATAAAGATTCTCAAACTCTAGGCTCCATCCTCCATGGAGGTAGACTGAATTTTTATTTAAGTTCTACTCAAGTCTTTGGTGTATGTGTAATCCAGTTCTGTTCATCAGGTCCAACCAAGGAGTGAAAGATACTAAAGCAAACAAATAAGAAGACAAAACAAACATTACTTTAGCCATAGCATTTGGAGAATGCCATAGTAGGACTGATAGTAAAAAAAAAAAAAAAAAAAATTAAGAAGGACTCTTTATTTTGTTTTATTGATCTGTGGCAAGCCAACATTTGGGCAATGGCAATTGTCTTCAGCTTTGTAGCTTCTGAAACTCTATTCTTTGCACAGATAGGAACTGCAATGGTTTTTACCACTTAGACAATTTAAATTGTCATCTTTTGATGAATTTTTTTCAAGCTAAAAGCTTTTTCCTTTTTATCTATGAAGGAAAAAACATTGATGTTTAAATATACTGGTTCCAACAGGACACTGTCAGAAAACCACTCAACAATAAATCGACTCACTGTAATGCCATCTCTTTATGTTTAAAATTTAAGTTCATAATTCTGTGCTATTTATTTATTGTAGGATGTAATTAAAACCATTGTCCAGAGTGGTGGCATCAAGCATCTAGTTACCATGGCAACTAGTGAACATGTAATAATGCAGAATGAAGCCCTTGTTGCTTTGGCACTAATAGCCGCTTTAGAATTGGGTAAGTACCCCAATAACAAACTTATTGTCTCCTATTTTTTGTCCCAGTGAAAAACACAGAAATGGAATAGAAGTCAGACGGAACTTAATTGGAAGCGTTTCGCCAGTGTTACCTTCTCCTTTGTCTGAATATTTGGAAAAATCTTACACTGTAGTTGTTAACACCCCTCTTTTCTTTTTGGTTGTGCTTTTGGCAGCATTTTTAGGGCACTGCTTTAAGGTTGAACTTTCAGATTGTAGCCAGTTTAAGACTACAATGATGATACAGAAAACATTTTCCGTAGGCTTCATGGAGATAATAAACCATATTTAGACTTACGTAACAAGTCCAGCAATCTGTTTATCTTCTAGTGACTCAGCCCCTTTCTTCCATCTCTGTTCTCTCTACTGCTGGTTCTCTCCACTCCTGCTTCTCTCTTCTCCCTCTCCTTATTGCCATGGCGTAGCCTTGCATTCACACTAAATTCTCAGCATCTATTACTCTGTTATGTGTTTAGCACTCAGAACTTCCCCAAAGCAGAACCTACTTTATTTGATTAGTTTCTGTTTAACACAAAACTTTCCTGTTGGTTTAAATACTTCTTGAGACACTAGCTCATAAGCATTAAGCCTATAGATAGCAACCTTTTGCTCAGAAACACTCTCTGAAGCAGATGGATAAGACCTAATGCCTGTTTACACAGAGAAGGACTGTAGACTTAGTATGGGCTGTACCCTCTTCAGTTCTGTCTATTTCAAAATAGTGTCACTGATTACTTCTTAATTCTCACTAATAGTTTATGTCCATAATTCTCAAACAAGGAGATCCATCCTAAGAAGGAAAAACAGATGATAAATATAATACACTTGGTGGCCTGGGGGGTAAGGAGTTGTGCTGCCAGTTCAAAGGCAAGTGGTTCAAATCTACTAACTGTTCCAAGGAAGAAGGATGGATGGATGGATGGATGGATGGATGGATGGATGGATGGATGGATGGATGGAGTCCTTCTGTGAGATCTACAGCCTCTGAAAACCCACTGAGGATCAGTTATAAGTTAATTTTAACTCAGTAGCAGTTGTGTTTTGAGTTTAATTTTCTAGTGTCAGCTTTACTCTTATTCGTGCCATGAAAGATTTGAATTTTTATCTTCTTAAAGAGTTTTAAATATTCTTAGTAATACTCTAAGGATTTAAAATTTCAGGAGGGTAACAAGAGTCTTAATCCTACTAGTTCCCTGTTAGTGGGTAAACATCCACTTGGTGAATTCTATTCACAATGATAGGAAGAGCCAACATCAAAGGATCAAAAAAGAGATGTCACTATGAATTTTTGGCCACCACAAGCCAGTTATCCCTGTGGTAATTTACTTGGAATTTAAAAGTAAAATTTACCTTTGCCTTATTAAAGGTAAATTAGAAGACTTCATTGGCATTTTAGTGACTGATGTTGGGGTTAAAGATTCTTTGGTGGACTTGGTATATTCATTAAGTGATTAATTCTAATCCCAGCCTAGAATATTGTTACAGTCTCCCACCTGTCTTGGGTATATCATATAAGTCAATCCTGAAATCCACACACCTTTAAGAAGTGTATGAAAGTGTGGGACTAAGTACAGTCATTTAATATCAGACAAGGATACTGGCCTGATTTTAAATGGCTTAAGATGATGGATCAATTTCAGATTATTCCCTAGTTCTAAGTCAGAGGAGAATCTAGTTTTGTGCTCTCCAAACTACAGTCTTCTAAATAAACTTTATCAGCTGTCAAATAGCTGATCATTTTTCTGGATCACTTTACCAAGCAACTATATAAAGAACTATATAAAACAACAGTGCATCGTTTTCTTAATATACATCATACTTTGAAAGCTGTGTTTTTCCAACTTTGTGTTCTGACTGTTATAAAAATAAAATAGTTGGGGGTGGGGTGGGGAGAAAAGTGCAAGAATGAATGGAATTCCAAAATCTCTGTAGATGTTCATTGAAATTAAAAAAATAAAAGAAAAAAAATTATAAAGAGTCCTTGTCTTTTAATTGTAAATAGGAATATTGTTGTTGTTATTGTTGTTGTTGTGTACCGTAGAGTCGGAACTGAACCATACCTGACCCTCCAGTGGGTTTTCAGAGGTAGTTAATTGCACAGGAAGAGAGTACCCATCCTTCTCCTGTGGAGCCGCTGGTGGACTCGAACCATGTGCCTTCAAGATTGTAGCACAGCTTCTTGCCACCCTTTTGTATTTTGCCAAATTTCTCCAAACTGAACCTTTTTTGAAAACTGTAGTGTATATATCACAGACAGAATATGAACATTGGTATAGTCCACCTATCAATCTTATTTTCATTACCCCACTTTTACTTGTTCCTCATTTGTCTATGTAATTTACATAGAGTGTTATGACCTGTGTTGGTTCACAGATCTGCCACCACAATTCGAGCTCCACCAAGATCCCCTGTGTACCTCTTTCATAACTAAACCAATCTTCTCTTCACCCTCTTTCCTCACAGATCCCTAACCTCTATCTGTTTTTCATTACTACTCTTTTGTTCTTTGGTTGAGTCATACTCAATGGCACCTAACAACGAAGACAGTCATTTGTTGAAAATGTTGTTTGCAAATATTTTCTTCCAGTCTAAAGATTGGCTTGCATCCTTTTCAATTTGTACTTTTGTTGTTGATGGGTGCTATTGGGTAGATTCTGACTCACAGTGACTCTCAAAAGCAAAGTAGAGTCATTAACCATTTTGCAAGCTTTTTACATGATATTTAATAGAGTAAATTTTAATTTGCATAAGTCTCAATTTATTATTCTTTCCTTTTGTCAGTTGTGATTTTCATGTCAAATCGAAAAACTCTGATTTTTCGTGTTAAACCTAAAAGTCTAAAAACTCTTAAGTCCTGAAGAAGAGTTCTTATGACTCAGTAGTTAAAGCTCTTGGCTGCTAACAAAAAGCCAGTGATCCAGACCTTCCAGTGACTTTATGTGGGAATAACAGAGCAGGGTATTACGATAGAGACCACAGCCCTAGAAACCCTTGAGGCAGTCTACTCCTGTAGGGTTTGAACCAGTCTAGCAGCTGTGGGTTTATGGCTGTGTTCCCTTTCAAGTTAGTTTTTGTTTGAGGTATGGGGTTTATGCCAAGGCCTTCTGTAGCTCTGCTGACATACATTGGCCAAGAACGGTCCATATCTCTTACAGAAAAGGTGAGAATTCTACCACTAGCCATCATTACTCCAAAAGCTTTAATATAGGGTAGTGTAATCCCTCCTACTTTATTGTTACTTGTCAAGATTTTTTTTACTTATTTTAGGACTTAAGCCTTTTCATATACATTTTAAAATGTTCTTATATATGTTTTTATATATACATACACACACACTAGGATTTTTATCAGAATTATGTTAAGGGTCTTTATCTTTTAAAGATACATTCTGAAGTATATATGGATGAACTGGTCTAATGTTCGAATTTGCTTCGACTGATTATTTGGGATAGATGAGGATGAGTGGCTAAGAGTAGAGATGGATGAAGGATGGTTGGCCATGATTATTCTTGAAGATGTTGATAGATACATAGGATATCATTTATAGCATCTTTTTACTTTTCTGCCTTGTATTGAAAGGAATGTTATATCATTAAATATTAAACCCAAATTCCTCAACTGCCTGCTAAAGTCTAGCTCTCCTCTTTTCACAAGATCTAAATGTAACACATGTATCCTTGTTTTAATGCCTTTTTGGAATTTTTCAGTTGGTCATTTTTTAGAAAGATAATGCTCTCTAGCTCTCTTGTACTGGGTGAGGTGCTCTGGTGGCGTTGTCCATAAGGCGTTATTGCGCTGTAAGCCAAAGGCAGCACCTCTCTGAAGGATTTCCCCACCAGTGCCTCCTCTGCAGAAGGATAGGCATTCTCTCCTGATGCAGTGTACAGGCTCTGGAAAAGCACTAAAGGGTCATCAACAAGTCAGCTCTGAGTCAATGACAGTCCGTTGAGTTATAATTTACATGTCTTCCTTGTTCTCTCCATATGCCAGGTACTGCTGAAAAAGATCTAGAAAGTGCTAAACTTGTACAGATTTTACACAGACTTCTAGCAGATGAGAGAAGTGCTCCTGAAATCAAATATAATTCCATGGTCCTGATCTGTGCTCTCATGGGCTCTGGTAAGTATTTATTTTGTTACTTGTTGTTCATCAGCATGTGGTTAACATTAAATATAAAACGTATAAGAACAGGATGAAGTTTGTAAAAGCCAGAACTTAACAATGGTCCCAGAAGTTTTCCGCCTTTGACAGGGTTCAGTCTTAGCTCTCTAATAGTGGAAAATATCTATGTTTTCCTCATCTCAGAGATTTTTCAGCATATACAAGTTGTAGCTTTTGCATGCAGGTTTTGCTATATGTAGCAAATGGTGGCTTTAAGTTTTGAATGCATTAGGAAAAAAAAATTATATTTTCACTGTAAAAGTACTTTTATAGTGAAAATATTCCCAAAGATTCTTATTATTGTGGACAGATTCATTTGTTCTCTTACCAGTCCATGATATATTTTTTTTTTACCAACACTGCAGTTCAGAGGCATTAGTTCTTCATTGTACAACTATCACATGTTTCTGAATCATTTGGAAAATACCATGCCTTAGGTCATATGTATATAACATCACAGTCTACTGGTGGTGTTGTTTTGCCAATTCAAGTGAAGTACACAAATCTTACTCTATTTAACTTCCTTGCCTTATTTGTAATGTGTCTTAAATTTTTGTCCTGTATGCATTTAGTCTTCCAGTTTTCGTTCTACCACTGCATTTGTCAACTTTCTGTAGGGTTTCCAGGCATTTGACTGTGTGGATCTTTCTAAATTATGGCTAATATCGAGAAGAATATGAATCCCAGAGTATGTGAAACCTACATCTAGACCAAGAGGCTGTTCTGTGAACAGAGCAAGGGAATGCTATGTGGTTTAAAACTCAGAAGGCTGTGCATCAGGGTTGCATTCTGTCTCCATACCTATTTAATTTGTATACTGAACAAATTAATCAATAAGCTTGATACTATGAAAAGGAATATAGCATCAAGATTGAAGGAAGACTTGTCAAGAACCTGCAGATGATACAACCTTGCTTTCTGAAAGTGAGGAGGACTTGAAGCACTTCTTACAGAAGATCAAGAAATATAGCCTTCAAATATAGCCTTCATTATGGATTGCATCTCAAAATCAAGAAAACAAAATTCTATACCACTTCACTTGCAACTCATATTGACCCCATGCACAACAGCCCTGAAACCTGCTCTATCCTGTGCCAACTTGACTGTCTCTGTAAAACCTACCTCATTACCCTAGTCACTGTGTGAATCCATCTCATCAGTGGGCTTCCTCTCTTTCTCTGTCTCTCCACCCTTCCAAGTATGTCCCTCTCCAAGGACTGGTCCCTCCTTGCAACATGGCCAAAGTGTGTCAGTTGAGGCTTCAGAATCCTTGCCTTCAAGGATCAGCCTGGCTTCACCCTTTTCCAGAACAAACCTCTTTGTTCTCCTGGCAGTCCATGGTATAGTCCACATTCTTCTCCAGCACCACAGTTCAAAGGCATCAATTCTTTAGCATCCCTAGTCATTGTCCAGCTTTCTGATGCATAGTAAGTGATTGCAAAGATTACGGTCTAGATCAGACACACCTTAGTCTCCATACTGATGTCGTTGCTTTTCAATACTCTAGAGAGGTCTCTGGCAGACAGCTCATTGCAATTCATCTTTTTATTTCCTGGTTAATGATACCAAGAGTGTTGATGAGCCAAGCAAACTAAAGCTGCCAATGATCTCAATCTCTTTACCATCTATCATAGTGCTACCAGTCAGACCCTTGGTGAGAATCTTTGTTTTCTTGGCATTGAGCTTCAATCCATATTTTTGTTTTGTTTTGTTTTTTGGGGATTTTTCTGACATCTTTACTCTTTGTCCAACTTTCAGATACAGATGAAATAATTGAGAATACCATAGCTTGAATCAGGCATACCTTAGTTGTTTGGAGAGTTTCAATCCATATTGAAGGCTGCAGTCCTTGACTTTCTGCAGCAAGCACTTCAGGTCCTCCTCAGTTTCAGCAAGCAGGGTTGTGTCATCTGCATAA